TGATGGATGATCCTTGGCTTAGAGAGAGAGAGAGAGAGAGAGAGAGAGAGAGAGAGAGAGAGAGAGAGTTTGAGGGATGATCCTTGTCTCTGAGATGAGGAAGACAAGGGAAGAGAAGAGGGAGATTGGTAATATCGTACCAGAAGAGAGTGTGTGACTTCCCATTGATTATATCCATCCTCACGGGGGATTGATGCGTGGATCGTGGATCATCAGTTCTGGAACAGTGTTTTTTCTCCCCGCCTCCTACGATCAAGGTAAGCTGTCTCTCGATCCCAGGGCCGATCAATGCGAAGTGGGGACTCGTCGGATTCTCGATTGTTCCATCGGCTGACGAGTCGGTGAATGTCTGGCACACTCCCCTCGTCTTCCTTCCTTTAACATGCATCCTGTCTCAATATCCTCATGCCCAATCTCTCTCCGGACGTTGAGGCCGTGGATGTTCGTCTGTTGCTTTTCGCACCTTCGCCCACAGGATTACATGGGACATGGTCTTCGGAACTCTTGCCACGGCGTCTGTGTGGTTGATTGAGATCCTTAGGGCGCCAGAACTTCGAGGCCCTTGGGACCTTGGGACTTTTTGGTCATCCGAATTAGGTGTTTCTTGGAACCCTCGACGTGTGAACCTCTGTGGCTTGGAACTTTCGACAGTTCTTCTCGTTCTCCCCCCCCCCCGTGTTCTTGGGACCATTTGATACTTTGGATTAGTGGGTGCTTGGAACCTTCGTCGACAGTTCTTCCTCCCCCGGCCCCCCCCCCCCCCCCCCCCCCCCCTTCGTTCTTGGGACCATTTGATACTTTGGATTAGTGGGTTCTCGGAACCCTCGGGGTGGGGAACTCTTGCGATTCATGCATCTGGCAATCCTGGGGATTTCAGGGGAGCCTCTGAAATCAGCACTTGGGGGTTTTGAAGGACCCTTGGGACTCGGGAAGGAACCCTGGTCTTGCGATGTTGAGTCTTTTCGGTGTTTTTCTTGCAATTCTAAATTTCTCGGGGTTCTCAAAATCCCGGGGAGGCACCAATGGGCATAGCTCAGTTGGTACACCCACGAACTGTTGAAGTGTATACTCTAGTATCGAATCCAGATACTTACTTCCCATTGGTGCCTCCCTTGGAGTTCAATGATGATATCATCGTTGAACAGATGACCAGAATAAAATCATTCCGAATTACTATCAGAGGCCGGTGCCGGTGAGTTCAATGATGATATCTCAAGGCCGTCGCCCTGAAAAGAAATAAAAAATCCCAGGGAGTTATTTGAAAAACGAAAGAAACCCCAGGGACTGTTGATCGGCAGAAGTGCGCGGACTCTCTCAGCACTAACCGTCTTCCCCGAACACAACGCACCGTGATAACGAAGGTATGCAAGCTATCTTGATTGTGCTTCCAATATGAGAGTGCGTTGTGTTCGGGGGAAGACGGTAGACAGACACACGCTGAGCAAGGTCCCATGAATTTAGCATTGTGTTTGTGGCCGTTGATCCTTGTAGTCTTCGGTGCAGAAAGGAGGATCCACGCGAGTGCGGCCTTGCGTCTGATACTTATACCCTGGCTGGCAGGAACTGGAGCATAGCTAATGACGGAGTGTGAGCTTTTTCCTTTTCTCCTCTGGTCTGTTTTCAGTTTGCCGTCGCTTCGGTCGCGTACAGTCCCTCCCGAGGTCTGTTTTTAGCATCCTTTATGTTGCTAACGGGGACCGCCTTGAGGTATCCTCATCAAACTGACCGGCCCCAGGTACTTGAGAGTTACGTATGATTCTAACTCAGGGGCAAGGTCCCACTTGCACGTATTAAGAGATTCTGGCCGTTGATCTTTGCTATCTACGGTCAATATCGCTTAATTCGTGTAAGTGGGACCTAGCCCCAGGTCCGTTTATCAACAGTGTATGGGTGGGTGGACCATTCAGCCACATCGGCTGGGCAAATGAAGGTCATCTTTGTCACTGTAGAATTTTCTGTTTGTGAGACGGCGGAGGTTGTGACGTCTCACCAACAGCATTCCGAGTTGGCCCGCGAGGATGTACGTGGAAATGTGCACGGCTTGGGGTCGATCATGCACGAGGCCGCCTGGACGTCCACGTACATTCTGGAAGCAGCATGCGTGGTAGTTCATCTGGCTTGATTGCCGCGTCCCCCTTATGATAATGAGAAAAGTGCTGACGTGACCTGGCCGTTTCGTGCGCCCGATTGACTGCACGTCTAATTACATTCTGTCTGGCCGGGCATTTTGGCCATCCCGCGCCCGCCAAAAGTGGGAGTTTTCGGTCTTCTTTCTTCGCAAGAGCTGGGCAACGCTTGCGATCATCGATCACTTTCGACAGGGCTCAGCTTGACTTATCATTCAACAGGTACCTTGTAACCATTCTGATCGTTCAGTGGTTATGGGTGTGTTCCATTGCGCAAGCAAATGGCAATCCTTGCGATCGTCGATCACTTTCGACAGGTTTCTAACTCACAACTCATTGCTCCTGGTGGTTCAATAGGTTAACGTACGACTATATATTCTTATATAATTCAGTGTGTGTGTGTGTGTGTGTGTGTGTGTGTGTGTGTGTGTGTGTGTGTGTGTGTGTGTGTGTGTGTGTGTGTTTGAACACTGAAGTTCGATGGCCAAACTTGGACGGGACCAAGATTCCCCACTGCTGCCTCCCGTAGGAGTCTGGGCCGTGTCTCAGTCCCAGTGTGGCTGATCATCCGAAAAGACCAGCTAAGCATCATCGGCTTGGTCAGCCTTTACCTAACCAACTACCTAATACAACGCACGCGGGTGTGTGTGTGTGTGTGTGTGTGTGTGTG